TGCGCGGGGGAATGATGTTACAGGGGTAACCGCCGAGATGTTTACGTAAACATGGGCCATGTATGTTTACGTAAATAATGATAGCGGCGGGCCCTTTGAGAATATGAGAGAGGGAGGAATGACATTACGCACCGCCGAGATGATTGTTTACGGCGGGAGGGAATTTTTCGCCACCGCCGCACCCCCGCGCCCCCACCGCATTCCCGCGCCCCCGCCGCGCTCCTGCCGCCACTTCCGCGTTCCTACCGCACTCCCGCGCCTCCGCCGCACCCCCATGCCGTCGCGGGCCGCGTTCGCGGGTCGCGTTTTCGCGCACGTGGTCTCACCCATAACGCGCTTATAGCGTGTTCTCGCCCATAGCGCATTCTCACCTATAGCGCGCTCTCCCTCCCACGCATAGCGTGCCTATAGCGTGCTCTCGCTTACGCGCACACGGTCTCATTCATAGCGCGCTCACGCATAGTGCACCCATAACAGGCTCTCCCTTCCACGCAAAGCGCGCTCTCGTTTACGTGCACGCGCTCTTCCTCGCGTTCTCGCTCCTACGCATAGCGCGTTCTCTCTTCCACCCATAGCGCTTTCTTCGCTCATAGCGCGTTCTCGCTCCCACGCACACTCGCACGCACGCGTTCTCTCTCCCACTCATAGCGCTTTCCTCGCTCATACTATGTACCCACAAAGCGTCCGTCGGACGCCCAAATTATGACCATTTTACGTCGGGACGTCCGTGGACATAATACAAACGCCCTATGGATGTTCGTTCAGGGACATCTATGTGACGTCCATTAAAAGACGTCCTTTGGATGTCTAAAATCTATCCATTCAATATCCGACTTCTGTGGACAAATTATGGACGTCCACTGAACGTTCTATACAGGGTGATTCAGAACAACCCCTCGTCCTTGAAAAGACATATTCTTGACTCAATTCTAAGACGATTTTTCCTTTACAAAAATTTTGTCCGAAGCTTAGTTTTCAAATTATAACGAGAAATAGTTAGCAAATTACGGGCCGCGTACGGATGGTAGACAGGGGCGGCGCAACTTACTGTCCGCCGGCAGGCGGTACGCGGGACCGTCGCGACGATCAGCTGACTACACGCGCGCATAAACATGCGTTTACATTCTCTCTCTCTCTCTCTCTTTTTCACACACACACACACA